ATGAAAGTGACAACTCAACTTCCCTGGAAGTTATAAGCAGCAGAAACTTTCTTGTGAAGGAATCAGGAGGCTGCTTAAAAAGATTTATTTTTTTTTTTTGGCTGAACATCAGTTTTCTTGTAAAACTCAATGCCAGAATGTGAAAACAGGTTTAAGCTGATATGGCCGTCATCCTTCTGATTTTAGAAAGCTGTGGTTCTGGTGTTACCGCTGATATTGCGGTTTTGCCAAACAATAGCAGATCGGAAATTTTTATGATTTCTATAATTTTCACAGATTCCTGCAAAAACAGTAAAGCAAGCTACAGTTAGATGTTACCCTTGACAAGCTGCCTCTCAGGCAGCATGGATAGTCTGGGTCATCATGTGCAACTATTCCCTGAGGATAAAAAATTGGTATAGACATGGAGTAACAGAAATGACTCATCAATACTCAAAAATGCATGGGAGAAGAATAGAGTGGTGATGACACCCATCTCCTCATAGAACTCACTAGTGAAGAGGTCAGAGGCATGAGGACAGGGAACTGCAGCCTTGAAAAACAACCTATTTTTATTATTTTCAAGCATAGCTATCTTATGTGGAGGTTAGTGAGGAAGGCTGCATTCTGCCTGCATGGTTGGAGACTTCCAGCTTCCTCCACTATAAGGGTTACATGATTACATATGGCTTTTTGCTACAGTATCAGATAGACAGTGCTGGGGTTCTTCTTCACATTTAAGTGTAGCTTCTGCCTGGTTTAACTCCATTGTTGTGGAACTAGTAGCTATATCCAAGAAAGAAAGTGATGTGAATTACTACAGTAAACATTATCAGACCTGGTCTGATCTGCAAATTAAAACAGGTAATGGAACTATTTTACACAGTTTGCTTCTAATTCTGACACAGATGGCACTTAAACAAGGATTCCAGCCTTGGCAGATTTCTTCAAAGTCAGTGCCAAGGCCAGGATAATCCTTTCTAGCAATTTTCTCCTTGATTTTTGAGCCACCAACTTCTGTATAAAATAGAATTTGTTATCTGCTGCTCCCCTTCTACAGCCATGCATTGAACTACCTTTGACAGGACACAAGACAGACCTTCAAATACTGAGCCAAGTGACGCCAAAAGAGTCATGAATCCCTACAAAGCTCATTTCTTAACCCTTATCTTCAGGTGGGTGTATCACAAGTAAAAGAAAAATTAGTGATCCAGTGAAAAAGAGAAACAAATAGGAAAAGTAAAAATACCTTCCTTGAGGTACTTCTGACTCTCCAGCTCTTAAATTATGCCAAGTGTGGGATAATGTACAATGACTGGTTTTTAAAGCCAGCATTAATGAACAATGGTTGCTTTTTAAAGCTAGCATTCACTACAAAGAGGAAGATGAGCCAAACCCAGACAACAGACCAAAAATAGTGCACATGGACATGTGTGTATGTTTCCTTACACAAAACCACTTTTCAGAAAGTTCTTTAGCCACAGCATTAGGCAAATAACCAATAGAGCCAACTCTGAAAAGAATGAAGACAAGCTTGCATTGGCCACTATGTTCTCACACAAATCATAACGTTAGCAGCACAGACAGGTTACAGGAGAAAGAGATACACCAGAAATCTCATATCCTTAAAATGGATATTTTGTTAATTTATTGTAATGCAGATGATGAAAGGTCTTCAAAGCTGACAAGAGCTCATTCACATGGGCTTTCATACAAGACAGGAAATAAAGACATATGTTAAAAAAAAAAAATTGCATTTCTGGATCTAGACAAGTACTCTCATCGAGATTGTTAGGAGCTTGCATGTAGACCGAGTTTAGCATATAGTGCAAAGACTTTGTAGTCAGATTATGAATTTTACCCATTATTTGCCCCTATAAACATCAGGGAAAAAAAAACGCTCGAGTTTTATGTTTACATGTGTTTGGGTTCTTTTAGATTGCTCTTATAAGGGCAGGTATTAAAAAAAAAAAAAGAAATGAGACAGAAGATAAAAGGACAGTATCCCACTAAGGATGTATTGACAACTGATTGTTTATCCCAGGTAAAAACAAAAACCACATACTTGAGCAAGAAATAGTCTCCCAAGAGTTTGGAGAATTGTTCCTTCAAAATCATCATTTTTAACACTACTTCAGTTCCACAAGTTAAGTGCACATGGGAGATGCCTAGTTTTACCAGTTTTCTAAAATAACTCATTCAGAAGGAATACTACTTTTACTAATATTGGAGTCCTACACACTGAAATTTCAGATCAAACATCTGACAGATCTTAATGTTGCCAACAGATATGCAGTCATTCATCACAGCTCTGCACTTTGGCTTTCTGAGGACTGTACTTTGGAATTCCTGTAGATTGAATAGCTGGCACAGAGAATTCAACATATAAGTAACACTATTTTCAGTGCTCCTTCAAAGAAAACCAGTACATATTTCTCCAAACCTGAGAAAACTTACAATCTTTTTATGTCATCTAAACAACCAAAAAAAAAAAAATTGTCATGCATATTTTGGATATTAAAAAAAAAAAGTATCTTGCTACATACTGCCATTCAAATACCTCCAAGTCATGCTTTCCTCACCAGCAACTGACAAGGGGGGATGTACTTTGAACAGGAAAGATGCTGCACACTACATAAAAATTGTGAGAAGTAAACATCAACAGGACAGAGAAAAAGAACCAGCTACCACAGCAGGTAATTAAAAGTCAAAAAAAAAAAATCAAAACCAACCTACCAATCCAATTATCCATCAGAGACTCTGCAGTTACTGCGGCTTTTACATGACTTGCAGCCTTTCTGATCAAGGGCCGTCACAGGACACCTAAGCAGTAAGAATTTCACATTTCAAACTTGGAATACTTATCAGCAATTTGCAGTTTTCAAGAAGACTAGGGATACTTATTCCACATTTCTCCATTTTAAAAAACTGACACACAGTGAAGACATTTGGGGTAAGGGTTTTTTGTTAAGTTGTCCTGTTCTTTTAAGTAAACTAACCTTGATAACCTATCTCCATTTGGAGCAGGGAGTAGAATGACTTTGTTAGAAGACCCCTCCTGCCCTTAACTCATCACCTGAAATTATACATACAATTTCCCCTCAAAGCTTATAGTATAATGATGGAGATCTAGAAGGTTAGAAAAAAAATTAATCTCATCGGTCTTATTAGAATAGTCTGTGCATTTTCACCACTGAATGAGGGAGAAAATCCCACCCACACTAGTGCCCCTAGTGTGCCTTCGCAGTTGGCAGTCTGAAGAGTAACTAGCAAATCACTACCCTGTCTTTCTGTGCGAGGCTACATTTTGGGGGTTTTATTCCACAGTAGAAAGCATGACCCTTTAAGGAAACTGCAGGGAGACTAGGCAACCTTTCAATCCATTTATCAAATTTCCTGCTGTTTCTATTTCTGAACAAGCTAAAAAAATTATTTTGTACAAAGAAAATTAATCTATATCCAGAAGATATCATTAAATAAAATGTGCTGACCTGTTGGCAATTGCCAGATCTGGTGTTAACATAGTACTTTGTTTAGCCTGGTGCCCTTCTGTTCCTTCCAGCACTGATATTGTGTAAAAAAACCCTAATAATGTTTAAAAGACATTTGATTTATTGTCATTTTCATCCTGGCATCCATACCTTCCAGAACACATAAGCAACAGTCAGTGCTGTGAAAATGTTTCCTGTAGTAATTTTAAGAGTCCTATAAAAAACATGTACAATACATACAGAAAAATGTAAGACCTTATAACAACTGTTCAGATACCTCCATGGGCTAATTTTCAGTTTTAAAAAAACGCATGTTGGAAAAAAAGTAGGCTTAATTTGCTGTTTAGCAGTACCCCTGTTCCAAGTTGAACAAAGCAGAAGACACTGTACTCAGGTGAAAACACAAATAAATATCGCTTGTCTGATGCTCTGCAAAGAACAGAAATCACTTGCTTTCTAAAACTAAAACTGGGCACAGCAGAAAAGCTAGGAATCTCTCCAAAAAGTGTTACATAAGGCATTGTCAAACTTCACGTCACCTCCACAGGGCCGCAAGTTGCTATTTTCCCCCCATCCCCCGGTGCGCGGGGATTAATGATCTAAATGACACAATTCTTGTACAGGAGGTGATAGCAGAAGCCTTCCCAAAGGGGAGCTTCCTGGGCAGAAGGCTTGCTGGGGAGGCTGGCGGGGGATGGGGAAGCCACCCTGCTCGCCTCGGCGTCCCAGCCAAACTCTAGCTCTGCCCCGCGGGTCCCGTTCCGCCGGGCCGGCTCCCGGAGCAGGCTCGCCGCGGGCAGAGCGCTCACACCCCACGTCGCGACTCCCTCCCACCCGCCCGGCAGCGGACACCAGCCCCGGGCTCTCCCGGACGCCGGAGCGCAGCCCGCCGTCCTTGCTGGGACCCGCTCCCCCACGGCTGGAGCTCCCACGGAGCAGGAGCACATCCCGGCCGAGGAGAGCGGCGTGCGGCGCGGGGCCAGCGAGCGGACTGGCGAGGGGAGCGGGGTCCGAACCGGGCGGTGTAACCTCCCTCGGCAGGGGGACGTGCCCCTTTGTGCCGGGAAGTGGCACGCGCGCCTCCGCCCGAGCATCTCTTCAACTCCGGATCTGATGGGGATTAAAATCCAGGAGATAAAGCCGCCAGCCCGGCCCTCTGGACTTGGGTGCCCTCTCCCCTTCACGGGCTGCTGGAAGGGAGACACTCATCGATTGTTCCTTGCCCTCCCCCGCCCCTCGCCTCTAAAAGCAGCACAGGCTCAACGAGAAGGCTCTTACCTTCCCCGGGTGGCTCCCGGGCGGTCGGGACGGGCGCTCAGCGCCCGCTGCTCCGCGCAGGCAAGCGGTCCTTCCCCCTCCTCCGCTCCAGGCGGGCAGCTCCAGCTCCGTGCCCGCAGCCCCGCGCTCCGGAGGTGTCAGCCAGCGGATCCCAGCCGGGGCGGCACTGGCGGCTCCACTCTCCGCGGGACGAGGAGCTGCTGACGGTGGGAGGAGGAGGAGGGCGGTGGGGAGGTCCCGACTCTTCCCGGGATGCGCCGCCGAGGTGGCCGCCTCCTCCACCGCCCAGCTCAGCTCTCTCCGGGGCCTGCCCGCTCCGCGCTGCCCCGAGGTGCAGCCCGGCCCCGTCCGCTTGTCCGTCCCGCTCGCCTTCCCCCGCCCCTTTCGCCGGCAGCGAACCGCGCGGCGCACAGGCCCCGCCGGCGGCCAGGAGGACCCGAGGGCGACGGGGGATTCCGGCCCAGCCTCCTGTCCTCTCCCCGGGGCCTGGTGCACACTCTCCGCGGGGAGAGAAGGCCCTGCCCCGGCCTGGCGAGCAGCTCCGGGAAGGTCACCGGCACCGTGGAGCCGAGCACGGAGGCTCCCTCCGGTACCGCCGCGGTTGTTGCTATTGCTGCCGGCCCGACATCAGCGACCGCTGGGTGCCGCGCTCCGCCCGGGCTCGCTCCGTGCCCGTGCCTGGCGGCCGCCTCCGACTCTGAGTGCCAGGCTGCCCCCTTCCCCTTCCTTCCTTCCTTGCCTCCCGCCCCTTCCCCGCTCCCAGCCTTCCCCCGCCGGCTCCCTCCGGCGCCCGGTGCCAGGCTGCCCCCTGCGGGTCTCGGGGCCGCGGCTACACGCCCGGCGGGGCCGAGGAGGAGCCGGGCGCGGGAGCGGCCGCCGCTGCCGGTCCGCGGGTGCCGGGAGCCGTGTGCCCGCCGCCGCCGCGCTGCCCCGGGCTGGCTCAGCGGCGGCTGCAGCGACTGTGTGTCTGTGTCATGTCTGTGCCTGGGCGGGCGGAGGCGCGGGGCCGAGGCGGGGCCATCCCGCTCACACGCCGCCCAGCGACAGGCGCCGAGCGCCCAACCAGCGGCGGCCGCCGGCGCGCACCGCCCGCCCGCGCCGCGGGGCGCCCCGGGCCGCTACACCTGGGCAGGGCGGAGGGGGGCCGGGACGGGCTGCCCGCACCCTGGCGCTCTCGCAGCCGTCCCGCCCGGGGGGCTGCGGGGGCACAGCCGGACCCGCACGGGGGCCGCGCCCCGCACCCGCCGCTCCCCGCCCGCCCAGCGGTCCCGAGCGCCGGCCTGGCGCGGGGAAGTGCAGGGCGGCCCGGCCCGGCCCCCGCCTCGGGCACTGGTGCCCGTAGGGGGGGCGAGGCGGCGCCCGGCCTTCAGCGTGAGCGCCCGGCGGGGGAAGACCCGACTCCGACCGGCGAAACCGCGTCAGGAATGAATAAATATCACGGCTTTTGGCTGAAGTGTGGCGGAGCGTGTCCCTGCGATGTGTCCCTGCGTGCTGGCAGCTGCTGAGAGTGAAGTGATAAGCGCACCTTTTTTTTCCCTTTCTTTTTTATAATTTTTTTTTAATTTTTTTTTCCCTTGTGGGCATAGAGCAACCATCAACGCGCTTTTTTTTCCCCCCGTTATTTTTATTAATCATTTTTCTTTCACTTCATTAGCGGTGTAAAAATGGATTGTTCCAATACGTTAGCATATTAAGAGGACCGTATGATAGATAACCTGTGCGTATAGTTGGAGAGGGTGCGTGAAATTCCGAGAGGAGTGTGCAAGGAGAACAGAAATGAGCAAATGTGCGTACAATCTGACTCTAGAAATGCACTGATCCATTCTTAGAATGGAAGAGGAAGCAAAGTATACACGTGCTTTGAGTAACAATGTAAATAATCAGAAGTATGAATAATAGGGGTAGTAATCAGTATTTACTTTCTTCTTCTAGGAGGCTAAGGGAATAGCTTAAGAGAAAAGTGTTGTTCGTTAGAAGATACCACAGATGCTAATTTCTCCCATTACATCAACTGCTTAAATGCTATAAGTCATGCAGAAGTTGCTTTATTGTGGGCAGAAATGATGCTTTTCAATATACTGTCCGTAATTTTTGTGAACTATTGAACAGGTTGTTCATAGCATGGTAGTATTTGCTAGACTTGATTAAGGTATTGGACCATCAAGCTTAGTATTCTGCTGGCAGCAGCATCCACTTCCTGATGCTTTAATCAAGAGTGGTATCAGATGAACTGAAGTAAATCACAAAGTTGAACATGCCGGTGATGTCATGTAAGTGTTACTAACTGCAAATTTTGACATATTGTGACAACTAGGAGAGCATTTTGCAGAAAAAAAAATAACTGCTTATCTGTAAAAATAATTTAGTTCTGATATGAAGAATTTTCTGGAGAAGCTGCAGTAACATACAGATTGGTCTCTATTGTGCTTGTTTTTTTCATGAGCAAATCAAAGTCAGAAATGAGCTATACTAAACTAACTAATTCTCTCATTTCGCCTAAGTGAAGCTATAGGATCAACCTTCAAGTAATAATGTTTTCTTGCACTGTTGAAGGATTGCAACTGCTTTGGTGACAGTCACAATGAACGAATTGTTGGGGAAGTATGGAGGAGGAAATAGGATTGTGTATATAGCTTCATTATTAATAAAACTCTATTATCTACTGCCTGTTATTGGAATTCTCTGCAGTTCCACATTTTTTAGTTTCATGCTATATCTTGAAAACTAATAAGTTGTCAAAGTCTGATCCTACAAAATATTGAACAATTTCTTCAGGTTCTTAATGTTCTTATCTTCTGTTAGAGCAGGGAACTCTCAGCACCCACAAAAAGTCTTAGGTTTTAAGAGCAGCATGGATTATTAGGATTACCTAATGTGCCACCATGCATGACAAATGATGGAACTTCATACGGAAGTAAAATGTCTTACTTAAAATTGCTCTGCATCCTTCAGGTTGGTGACCTACTCAGAAATGGACAACAGTTGTCCAAACCCAGAGAATGTTTGGCAGAGGCTCTAGCTGAGAATGGTTACCACCAGATTATAAAATCTAACAAAGACAGGAGGAGTGACTACCTCTGAAGATAGAGTTTTTCAGAAACTGTGTTTATGAGCAAGTAATCTTTTTCATATCCATAATAAAAATTGCTTTATCAGTCTTTGTCCTTGAAAATCCTGAGGTGGTGATTGCTTTGGACATAAACAAGCAATGCAGAAGGATACTTATGCCAAGGACAGGTAGAAGAAATTAGATGCAAATATTTGCACTTCAGATTTCATTCAGCTAGGAGGAAGGTTTCTCTACACAGGTTCTGGAGGGAAGTGTCTATTTGCATTTTAAAGAAAACAAAAGAGCAAAACCTATAGAAATGTGAAGCATATAGGTTTTTTTTTAAAAAAAGATCATTTCATAAGGTCAAAAAACTTAAAGTTTTAAGAGTCCTATTTAAAAATTTTGTAAACCAGACCCTTCATTTTTTAATGGAAACATGTCAATGTTGAGATATTGTTACATGATAGAGTTATACTGATGTAAAATTATCACATATATATATGGTCTCGTTTTTTCCTTACTGGAACAAGAGATAAAGGCATAACAGTACACAACTTCAAACAGGTTATGGTATTTTCACTACAGCAGAACATCAGTAAGTAAAATAGTTTTAAGTCTGTTTACAAGATCCCAAACACTTGCAGATTTATGTGGGTTTTGCTGAAAAGAACAAAATTACTTCTAATATAACCATTTTATGTGAAAGGAAGGTGTAAGGCTCACAAGGATTCAAACTTAGTGCATGAAGTTCATCTCCTGTTTAACACCAGTGAAGTCCTTTTTACGTTCTTACAGTTGTTTCATTTTTCTAGCTGAATTCAACCACTACGAGGTCTTTCAAGCAAAAAAGACAGTGCTTTGTTTAGGAGGTAACCAAAAAGTGCATTACTACTCTAATAGTGTGTTATGTGCCAGCTGAAATAGAAGCTAGAACATTCCTGAAAAACAGGAAGGTGGTCTGTCCCCATTCCTACACACACATTCCTATGGTTAATCAGCATTTTAAATACCTTGTGAGGTAGATGCTGCTGTGTCACACTCAAGATATGGGATACAAATGGACAAAGCTAAGTTCTCCATTGCTTTCTTTCATGTGGAGTTGATGAAATAGCTACTTTTCATAAAATCAACCATTCAGGGTGTTCTCACGGGGAACAGAAATTCCAATCTGATTTAGCAAACTGGCTGGATTGTGTTAACTGATCCACAGAAGGTTGTGACTCTTTGTTTATGAATTGCTGCTCTTCTAGACACTAAATTGCTCAACTATAAATAGTTTCAGAGCATAAAAAGCAAGACCGAAAGTCTGAAGCAAGTCCGAACCCTTGAGATTCTTGTTATTATCTACCTTTACAATAAATACAGTACTACTGCAGAACAGGCTGTCTGACATATTTTGTAGTAGAAAAAGGCTTTCAAACAAGAAATAAGTAAAATTTAATCTACTCTGAAAAAATAAATTCCCAGTTCTTGAGCATAAAGTGGAAGCTCTGTTACATGTGCTGTCCACAATGGGCAGTAAATTAAAATTTAATGGAGATTTTCCTGTGCATGTATCAGAAAAAAGAAAAATCAACAAAAGCCAAGAAAGTCAGAGCAAGATTCAGATTCCGTGGCGTTATAGGAACTGGAAACAAAACAAAGACTGGTAAACAGAATGCCTTTAAATAAGTAGAAAACATCATGAAAACCTAAAACTTTACAAATGCAAAGGAAATCTAGTTATTATTACAGAAATTATTTCTCTTCTATACCAAAATAGATTTCAGGCAATAGACTGATTTCCTATGTTGACTTTTTTCATTTTCATATTGGTTTCTCCCGGAGTTCAGCTTACTTCTAGCTGTAAAAAGGTAAACATCCATACTGAAGTCTTAGATAGTATTATGCCCTATAACAAAGAAAATGTTTAGGAAAGGGGTATTTTTCTGTTTGTTTACTTTGTATCTTTGACAGAACTCTGTGGATTTTTTTTTTCATTGCTGTCATTTACTGCTTTCCATTTGTTGTGATTCAGTCATTTAGAGAATAGTTGGGGAGGGGTTTTTTTTGTTTGTTTATTTGGACAATAAAAACTAGTGAAGATATGCAGAATAAATATGATGCAACTTTATTTTATGAAGTTAATCTGATTTCAGTTTAATAGTACTTCTTTAAGTTTGGGCCTACCATGGTCAAGTCAATATTGTATTTCTACTTATAGACAAAATTGATTTCTATTTTGCTAGTGTGACATATATAATTTAAAAAAGACTTAATTTCATACTTGATAATATCAATGCCAGTGTTTCCAGAGCTCTTTGCATGGATACCTACATCCTAAAAAAAAAAAAGTAGTGAATGCTGTTTTGGTTGTTTGGTTTGTTTGTTTTTTGAACAAAGGAATCTTCACACCTATGCTGTTTGCAGTGAAATTCTGGATAATTAACAGTGGCATAACTATTCTGTGTTAACATGCATCATTCCCTTACAAAATCTTCTGGGAAAGAAATACAGCATTGGACAAACTTCGAAACAATTTTAGACTTCACTGGCAACGAAGGTGAAATTGACGCAGGTGCTCCTAAGCCTAAATCAAGGTCTGTGGAAGTCAGTGGAGCAGCTGCATTGATTTCAGTGGGATCCAAGCTGAACTATCCTTTATGTCCCAGTCAGTGTTCTGGGAAAACAAATATGCACATTTATATACCCAGACTTTTATGATCTTCTTTCTTAATAATTGTTCCTATTTGACTGCTCTGCCTCTCTCCCAAGCAAACAGTGGATATAGTGTCTCCCTCTTGTTACTAGGTTTCTTTTGTTACGCTTCTCCATTTATTGCCCTGCAGTATGAATGCTGAGACTATGAAAAATCTTAAATGAATTGTAGACCTGTATAATTAATATCTGCCAGCCTTTCAGGAAGTATTAAAGCACAGAATGTATTACTGCTCCAGTCTTAGCCTTACACATTTAGATTTTAATTCATCCAAGGACACCTTTCACTATCTGGTGAAAAAGTGGATACTCTACCTGATCAAAACAAGACCTTTTTTTCCATTAGAAGCACCTGTTTTATACATGGAAGGTTTAATTGTTTCCAGAACAGCTTCATTAACTTCTGAAAGTATTACCAATACAGCACTCCCCAGAGCCAGGATGCTAATTAGAAAGAAAACTGGCCTTACAGTAGTTTGAAGAATGGTGTCTTTTTTTAAGGAAGGATTATTCAATCATTGACAGAGTGTTTGTGCCAGAATAAGTAGGAATAACTGCCAGTTATATGAACTCAGAAAATACCTGTGACAAATGAATTATTCCCACAGTGAAACAACCTCTTCAGACAATCAACAACAGTAAGCCTAATAATGATTCCATAAACAATGTTAAGATGTCCATCAAGTTCCATGCGGTACAAGCAATGTCCTTTATGACCAGTATTGTTTGTCAACCCTAATGTCCCTGACTCGGTGGGTTAGGCATGTTTGGAGGGTGCCATATGAATGCTTGGATTGCTTCCTTAGGTACCCAGATTGTCAGTAGTAACACATCTGGCCTTTGTCACATTTATGCTGATTTTATACTAAAGCTCTTGTAAGTCTGAATAAAAAAAAAACAAAAACAACAACCAATACAGGACTAAAGAGTAAGTGTAAATATAAAATGTAAACAAAAATAAAATGGATAGGTGGTATTACAAGTTAATGCATGATATCAACACTTGAAGTTTTGTATCAATGGTCAGGCCTTTAGAATCTGTATAAAAAAGTTCCTGGATTAAAAATAGATACCATGGCAAAGGAAATTACCCCAAACTTATTTATAAGAATCACTACCTAATGAATCAAACAGGAAAATTTTTGGCCAGAAATAAAAGACAATAATTATTGTTCAAATCCTAGAACTTCTGTATTTTTTCCAATGAGGGCTATTTTTAAAATATTTTCTAGGAGGATTTCTCTAGAAAGTAGAAATGCATTATAGCTGCTACTGTCAAGTGAAGGGAGGGTAAAATAAACCCCAGATCCTGTCTAATGACTCAAGCTTATTTCCTTAAGGCCACTGCAACAGTAAGAATGCCCAGTATGAATCTTTTCTGGCAGTTTAACAAAATTGACATGTCCATGTCAGCCAAAAGCTCAATGGAAATATATGTACATGCTTCTGAATATAAACAGGGAGCACAGTCTGAACAGCTAAGCATGTAAACATGAACTCATTTAGTGGCCGTAAGTGGTTGTATATCTTAGAAGTGTACTGTGAATAAACTAAAATGTTCTTTTACTGGGATGAGATGTGACCGTGAGCTGCATCCAGCTCTCTGTCCAAGACTGTCAATACTAAAGAAAGTTTCTGTGTTCTTGCTGACATTTCAGAAGTTGTGAGCTATGATCTGGACTTGCTACACTGGCAAAAGAATAGGAAAGGTCACCCCATCTCAGCAGTGAAACTGTCAGTAACAAAAGGATAATCCTCCTCAGTCTCAACAGCAGTTACAGGGAAGTTGATGCTAAGGTCAAGCAACAAGGCAAGACCAATACTAGTGCCAGTGAACCTGTCAACATTAAACACCTCTTTTTCAGAGTAGTATTTTAACAATTCACTATTCTGTGATTCAGACTGTATCCTGACATGGTGGGGGGTTTTCCATTTATTTAGGTGAAACTAAAGCTGTCAGACATACTTGAGGCCAAGCAGACAAGGCCAGGAAAAGGACAGACCTTCAAAGTCTGAAGGTGACATTGAAGGAGTCCAGCATCAGACACAAAAAATGCCCAACAAATTCAATAGATATTTTACACTCTGTGCGTGTACTTGTATTTCAGACCTTGGCAGCCACACAGGTGCTAGCATTGCTACTTTCTCTAAAATTGCAGTCTGTATCAGATTGTGTACTGAGGAAAGGAATAAGCTTTTGCTACCATGGATGGTGTCAGAATTCACAGTTCCTGCACCACCTAAAAGAAATGACCCGATTATAATGAAATCAGCTTGTGTTTAAGTCGATTAAAGCAAGAGTTTCATCTACAGAGAGGGAAAATAATTTTAAACACTTCTCTAACCAACACACAAGATCTCAGTGCTGGAATAAGAAATTATACTGGCCCTTTGCCCATTTTGAAAACATTTCCAAGTGTTTT